TGTAGCTTTGGATCATAATTTGTAAAAAAATAATAATCTGGGATTTTTGTACGCTTGGAATCTTTTACTGTCTCTACCTAGTTAAAAATGTAGTTTTGTGGTTTTAGGTGAACAAGAAGCTACAATGTTGCCTCATTACCTCAGTGTCATGGAGAATACACCGCCTTTAACAGTCAGTACCCCAGAATCCTTTATAACAGCCAGTATGAAAACAGAAGAATCAAGCTCATCGTTACCAGTAAATGAAACTCAAACACTAGATACGTGTGTAGGAAACAAATCTGCAAGTTCTGAAAGCTCCATGGCTGGGAGCCCCGATACGGAGTCACCTGTATTGGTGAATGAATATGTGCGTATATTTCAGTTAAGATACATCCAAGAGAAATGAGAAGCTTTTTGATTTCAGGGTTATTTCTAGTTTCTAGTGTTGTTCAGTTTTCATCTGCAAATTTGATATGTGCATTTTTTTATGTACTTTATTACAATAGTCAAAAATCTAGTTTTGGAGTGAAAATAAAACCAATTAGCACTGTTCTCTTAAATGTCAACTGTTTTTATTAACAGGAAGCTGGTTCTGGAAATGTCAGTCAAAAATCTGATGAAGATGACTTTGTGAAAGTTGAAGACTTGCCCCTTAAACTTGCAGTATATTCAGAGGTATTTTGCTATTGTTCGTCGGGTGGTTGTTTAGAAGCGCACACCCTAAATATCTTAATCTAGACAGCAATAAGAATTATCCTGAATTTTGAGTTTCACTTTATCTGTTACAAAGGCAGATTTAATGAAGAAAATGGCAACAGAGGCTCAAACCAACAGTTTGTCTGATGAATTACTGGATGGAGGTGGAGCTCAAGATCAAGAACTAGTAGGAGATGCCCAAACTTTGAAAGAACCTGGTAAAGATTATTTTCTAAATCCTCTATACCTATTGGGAAAACACTCTGGAATGGCATAGAATTTAAATATCTTGTTATCACTGAAGTAAGCAGTTACCGTGGTGCTGAAAGAATATCCTTTTTTTGTTATTATGCATTTGAAAATGATATATTGATACGAAGAGATTTTGCCTTTCATGTTCCTTCGTATATACTTCTGTTAGATTCTGTGGCTAATAAAGTCATAAAAATTAACATATGTAAAATGTGTGTTGTAGAGTAATGGTTTTGAAACTTATTAAAATGGAATAATATTTTTGTTTCTTATTACACAATCTTGGGTTTAATAATACTGTAAATTCTAATTGCTATTATCTGATTTAATAATGCTTAATATAATTTGCTGAGAGACCGCTTAGTGTTTTTGTAATAGAAAAGTTCAAGAGACTTTTCAGAGGAGTAAAATATCTCTTCAGGGAAAAGAAAATTATTTTTTGTATGAAGCATACCCTGGGGTAGAAAAAACTTTCAGTGTGTGTGACAGCAGTAAAAATTCATCACTTTCATGAAACAGTATTTATGGAGCTACAAAAACTTAATGGTAATGCGGGTCAAAAACTTCTCTCTTTTTTTTTAATGTAATGTTGATATTGTGACACAAGTTATGGTATTAGAGGCTTATCTTCTATTGTTAGGCTTGTAGTTTTCCAGTGGAGGGTATATAATGGCATATATATATAAATGCATGAACTGGGTATTCTGATGGTGGTAGTTTTCTGCTAGTGTAGCTAGTTCCAATTCTCAGACAGTATAATCTGATGAAAATGCTTTTTTTTTTTTTTTAATGCATTTGCAGTGACAGCATAGGATTTTCCAGAATAGAGGGTGGTGAAGGAAGGTGTGTCTTCCCTTCCATTTCAGTCACTGCCCATCACCATTCTGCTTATCATAGCTATGCTAGCAGAAGTCTGTTATGTCAGTTTGGTGAATACTGATGCATATGCCTGGTGTGGGAATAGTCTGGCAAAGAATGCCATGCCACACAAAATTGGTAGCTAGCAACTAAGGCATTCATCTGTGTATGGGGGATGGCTGTAGCTGTTCAAGTAAGCCATGGCTCAGAATGCTTATGAAAAGAGGAGGGGATGAAATGTTTCATCAAGGTGCTTTAAGGGATACTTACAAGGAGTTGAAATGTGGTCAAGAGCTGTGTTTGATCCCTTGTAGCTGTTAGACAATAATGAGTATACTCTTATTTTACAGAAACTTTTGGAGGTCAAAGTGCATGAGAATAACCTGAAGATATATCTGCATTTATAAACTCCATGTATACAAATGCATATGGAAGATCAGCACTAATTTCCTAGAATTCTGGAAGTGTATAAAAATGTAAAATTTTGACACACTGCCTCTTAGGATAGGTATGCTCACTTCTGCCTGTGGCAGTTGGAACAGCTGGAACTGAATCATCTTCTATTCAGTTTTGCTGCACTGTTCTTCTTCTGTCTTAATCTTTTTTTTTATTTTTTATTGTGACTTGTTTAGTAATTTTAAAATTGTTCAAAATGGTAGTTTTAAATAAAGTTTGGACTTGTCTGTAAATTTGTCTTTTGAAAAATTTTCCTCTGGCTTACAAAATGGTATGCAGAGTGCGTTGTTGGAAGTTAACTGACTTTAAGTGTTGGCATGCTTGTAGCAGTTTGTTACTGCTCTTCAGAGAAACACTGCTAATTTTCCTGGGACAAGAAACTCTTGTCCCACTAAGTTTCTCCATCCCCTACAACTATGAGTATAGCATAGAGTATAGCTGGTCTGTGGAAAAAAAAAAAAAAGTTCCTGTTCATGGCCTTGTGGAATTTGTTTCTACCAGCACATTTATCTGAGGTGAAGTAAATACCCTAGGTTTGTAGTTAACTGCAGAAACCATTTGTATTTTTCTGCATATTCTGTTCTGTACTTTCAATGTGCAAAGGGATAAACCAGTCTGAAAATTTTAGTATCCTCTCACAGGTAATACTTAAAATTGCTGCAATTGAAAGCCTGTAGAATCTGTTCCTGAAGTATTTGACTTTGTGAAGAGTTTTCATGTAGAAAGGAAGAAATTTAAAAAATTTTAAAAACAGTTAAAGTCAGTACCTAATGAAGTCTCATGGCAAAGGCAGAATTAGGATTGTAGAAAAAATAGGCTGGAAAACTTGAACCAGAACAAAAATTTTCTTCACTTTTTCAGATTAGAGTTGCTAATAACAGTTAAGTCATAAAATTGAGCTAGAAATATCCTGAATAAGCTATCTATCTGCTGCATTATAGAGATCCTATTTACCTTAAACACCAGGCTTCTCAAATTAGTTGAAGAGCAATGGTCATCTTGAATTCAGAATTGTCTTCCTTTGGAGGTTAGTCTCCCACAGCATATAGCCATATTATTACTATCTAGTGACAGTGAAGCCTAAACATGCCTCAAGTTTGAATAAAATAAGAGTGTGATTCTTCTGCGATTTCTTTTTTTAGTTTGTTTTGAGTGTCTCTGGATTTTATGAGTGAATTTTGAAATGGCAGATTACAATCACGTGCCTCTTGTCTCCAAAGGCAAAAGTATAGCACAAGGGTTGAAGACAGTTTAGTTACTGTGCAGGCTTTAAACTCATGGTGGTACTGTATGCAGAAAAAACTTGACAATTTTGAGGACAGAGGAAATACATTGTGACAAACCTGTGAAAGTGAAACAAAATTCAAGTGTTTAATCACTAACTTGGCACAAGAATAATTCAGGAGACTTAAAAGAGGACATTTTCATAAAGCAGAACAAGAAGATTTGTGCATATTTGAGAGACATCTAGTTTATATGGTAAATCATTAAACTCTAAGCTTAAGAAATAGCATGAGCACACACCATTCCTGAATTCTTGCCCTGGAATGGCAATGCACTGAAATGGTATTTCTTTGTCATATTTTCTCTACCCTTTCTTTACAGAATCACAGACTGGTTGAGGTTGGCAGGGACCTCTGAGGGTCATCTGGTCCAATCTCCCCCTGCTTAAGCAGGGCCACTTAGAGCTGGTTGCCTAGACTATGCCCAGGTGGCTTTTGAATATCTCCAACATGGGGGACTCTGCAACCTCTCTGGGCAACCTGTGCTAGTGCTTGGTCACCCTTACAGTAAAAAAGTGGTTCCTAACATTCAGAGGGAACCTCCTGTGTTTGTTTGTGCCTTTCTAGTCTACTTTCATTATCCATTGCTCATGTAGTAGAATTGCTGAAGAAGTTAAGCTCTCTAAGTCTGGTGTCAGTCCTTCTGCTCATATGTAGCTCAAGTAGAATGTATTTTTCCAGTGGTAGTAGAAAAGATCTTGCTTAAAACAATTACAGGAGACATGAGAAGCAGAGTCTTCTGCTTGATAGATTGCTTGCTTCCTTACCAACCTGGACCAAAGTGAATGTTGTATTTTACTGTCCAGTATCCATTGCACAGTTCATCACTTCAGAGGCAGTTCTGTGGGGTAATGAGTACAAAGAATTCAGATAATTATTTTTAAGAGGAAAGTTAAAAGGCCAGAGCTGATTCTCTTCTATAGCTAACACAATTTAGTAGCAGCTCCTCCCTTAAAGGGAAGTTGCTGTATAACACCTGTCTGTTACTGTTGTATATTGAATGACCTAACAAAACAACAGAATGCACTGGTGTATGGAGTGAAACCAAATCATGTTGGACTACTTTGACTCATCTTCACTACTGGAAGTAGCTGTTACTTCTGGGAGGAAGGTGGAATAATTGATTTCTTGCAATTTATTGTAACATTGCTTTTGAAACTTTATTTTAATCATTCCATTGTATCCTGAAGGGATTCATGCTCCAAACCCAATTACAGCATTCACAAAGTCTAAGCATTAAGACAACAGAAAACCCATAGTAACTGTGGGTTGCTTTTACTGCAATGCCAGTATTTTGAACTGTAGTTACCTACTACAGGATTACTATCTTGCATAACAGCAAGGGGTTCAAACAAAACTTAACTTTCAGTGGTAAACTTTGAAGAACATAAGTTAAACTATTAGATGAACTGTCTTATTTCAAAAGAAGCCTTCACCCGTTCCATACAAGTTTGCATATTCACATAGCAGTATTTATTCAAAGACAGACTGGAACATTTCTTGCCCTACTTTTATATAAGCTTCTCTCTCTTCATTTGTCATGAGAGAGACAAGCTCTGGATTTTCACTAACTTCGCCATATGAACGAGGCTGACCAGCTACCATTAAAATAGGACCTTGCATTTCCTCTTCCTCCTCTTGTTTGAAGTTGCTGCCTGCTACTTCCATTCCTGCTCTTGAGTGCTTGCCATCTTCCTCAGACTCACTGGTATCACTGCCTGATTCAGGTAGTTTGCTTCTGACAACAGGAGCCTGGTCTGTGCTAGACAATGACTTTGATTCATGGATCAGAAGAGTCTTGATGATTTCATTTTCAGTGACAGTTTCTTTAACACTTTCTTCAGTTTCTTCAGAAGCATTTACTCCTACTACACAACACTGAGTATTAGAGGTATCAATAGTTACAGTTACCTTAGGCATCCTACATAAATGATTTTTTTCTACTCTGGATCTTTTTTACCCACACTTTAGAATTCTCTTGAAAGTGCAGACATTTCCAAGAGCTTTCAGCTTTAAAGATGACCACTAATGTTACTGCATGGTTACAGCCAAAAATTTCAGGACCTGGTACCTGGCCTCTGGCTTTAGGAATACTACTTAAATCAGTCTAAAGACTAGTTTTTAGAAACTAAGATCTGATAGGCACTAGTGCAGAATCAAAGCATTACTCTATATTCTAAACCAAGCTCACTACATTTTCAATAGGAAAGCTGTATTTAAATGCAGTAAGGCTGCTAAACTTAAGGATTTGCTAATGCTTGAAACTTACCAACACTATTGTTGGTGGATGTTGTTGCTCCTTCCACAGTGCTCTGTGACATCCAGATAGGTTGCTTTTTAGCTGCTTTTTCTCTTATTTTCTTCTTGGACTCAGAGTCTTGGACATCAATAACTAAGTTTTGGGTGTACATGTTGCCAGAAGAGGAACTTCTGTCGGCCCATTTTTCAGCTCGGCTGCAGGGTTCCAGCACACTTGACCCCACTTTCTGATCAAAGCTGAATGAAATGTCACCCATTTTGGACAGGTTAAATTCAGGCAAGAACCACCCCAGTTCCCATTCAAAAAAAGACAACCCCCCCCCGTGTTTTGTCAGCAGACTAGCTTTGACAAGTGCTTTATATTAAAACAATATGCATTCCCCATTACCTCATCTCAGAGGCAAGTGGTTCTGAACCATTGATTTTTACATGGTCTCTTCAGTAGTGCGTCTCTGGACAAAGCACACTGATAGAAAAGCGTTACTTTCTCACAGAAAGGGCTATGAACATTAGCTGAAAGAGAAGTCTGGAAAATTATTTTTAAAAGGTAGCAAAAATAAGCCTATAAATGCATAACAATAATTTAGAATGCCTTAGATCTTACAGGCTTCTTCATTAAGAAGCTAACAGTACTGAACAAAGCAGAATTGAGTAGAAAATAGGCTGCAAGTTCAGTATTTCAAAGATTTTACAGCTGGAAAGTTGCTGGGGGGTTTATCTTGATCAGAAGTTCTAGGGTTATGTTTATACCTTTCTGATAATTCTGGTATTTCCATTGGCTGAGGCTCCAGCAAGTGGTACGGCAGAACAATATCTTCAGTCTCACGCAGCAGCACAAAGATAGGTTCAATCTGTTCATTGAATTTTGCTAGCAAAGTTCGAGCATCATGCTTGGGAAGTGCTGAGGCATCTTCCTCAACTTCAGTGTTGCAGTAAGTGCAGCGGAAAGTCTCTGCAATGTTACCCAAATTGGAAAATCTTGTGTTCATAGGACACAAGAGATCTGCAGTACCTTGTTAAGAAATCCACAGTCTGGACAATTACCAAAACATTCTGACTTTATCCATTTGTTCACATTAACTAGGAAACTCAAGTAAAAAAAGGCTTGCCCTTATCCCCCCCCGCCCCCCTTTTTGGAGAAAGACTGGTATTCACACACTTGCTGTGCAAGAGAGAAATGTCTATATTGGGGGGAAAAAGTTAAGTTGGCTAGGCATGGATTATCATCAGATAGTAAGGTTTATTTTTTTGTTCTCTGATCTCATCTTTTTTTAGTCCATAAATGTAAGACGACAGACATCTGCAAGCATAAGCAGCATCTTGTTTTAGTTGTTAGAGTTGTTTAGAGTTCTGAAGTTCAAAAAGACTCATTTAGGGTCAAAGCATATGCACAAACTTATTATTTATGTCTTAAAGAAAAAAAAATAATTAAAGCATGTTCTATTAAAATATATCACCAGCCTCAATGTTTGCCTTTCAGTAACTTGACAAAGTCCCTGCATTTAGAACAAAGGGATGATTTTACTAAGTGGCAGTACACTAATTTCACCTTTGACATTTCAAGTTAGTCATATAAAGTTCACTCTCCCTGGCTCTGGCATCCTTTCCAGATACCATGCCCCAGATGTTCACACAGCAGCTGTGCTTACCATATTGCAACATGATGCCACTTTAACTCATTTTGAAAGAGTACTCTCTATTTAGTTGTTTTGATTTTAGAGAAGAGAAGCCCACAAGCTCTGATGCCACTTCTGCTGTGGATGTGTCATGTTGCCCTGGGAGGAGCCTGAACTTCCCCGTTTCCAGCACAGGAGTGACAGAATGCCTCTCGTCTGCTGCTGAGCTGAGTACGCTTACTACAGTAGGTGGCTGCAAGCAGTTTTATCCATCTTGTCCACCTCTTCCATCAGAAGAGTTGAACACACAAATGGATTAACTAACACATTCAAAATGGAGTAAAGCGAGTACTGTATTCTCATTTCCATATGAGGAAGGGGTACTCACAAGATTTGGATGAATAATCTTAAACCGGGTTAAGCATCTTGTTCATAGCAAAGCTAAGGCCTGGAATCCGATTCCCAACCCCAGCTTGTATATTCAAGATTATTCTTCCTCTTGCTTGGCCTGTTCTAGAGAGACAGCTTTTTCTCTTACCCTCACCTCCCAGCTTCTCCTGTCCCAGGCCCTTGTCCACCAGCAAACGAGAAGTATATCCTAACAAACATGCTTTTATTGCAAAGTTTGCACGGGAGCCAATTTTGTGCTATCAGAGTTATTCTTTAAGATAAGAGCAAATAAACAATATAAGCAACATACCTGTAAATACATCAAAGAGCTGATTGACTTCCAGGTCCGTGTAAGCGCTGGAGCAAAATGGACATCTAAAAGAGGACCTGGTAGTTGAATCCCGCTCATCCGCTTCTATTTTCCGACGTACATGATCCAGTTTGTATTTTACCACATCCACCAGCACCTTGTAATTGATGTAATAGTAATTGTGCCTGGTGCTCTTCCCGTTAGGCCCCGTTTCAACTCGCATACGCAGCTTCACAAACTTGTCTGCCTTGAGCGTGTTGAGGATAGTACGCAGTTGTTTACGTTCATACTTGAGCAACTGTAACAAGTCATCCTCTTTCACACAGGGGTAGCGGATCAGTATATCGAGGGCCAGGGAGTACTCTACTCCATAGAAACCACGCACTATATATTTGGCCAGGCGCTTTAGGGTTGCTGGGACCTCTGTGATAATGTTTTGCTCTTCCATCAGGAGCTGAACCAGTCAGAGAGAGAAGTGCTGTACAACAAACAGAAGGGAGGTAAGCTGTAGTGAACCTTTCTTAGCCCTCACGAGGAGGTATAAAGCAGGTCATTTGCTGCGCTTCACTTCTGTAAGAGTCTTCACTGAATAGATCAATGTAAAATCCTTAACCCGCACCTGGATATGGGGAAGGTATCAATAGATATCAGAGATTACCTAATCTTTAAATACAATGATTACATCTGAAATATTCATGTCCTCTTATGTAAAAGCCCACAGAAGATATCGAGGGAAATGGGTTACAGCAAGTTCTTCTTTACAGAAGACAGCACAGTTAACTTGCATGTCTAGGTCTGCGTGAAGTATCTGTTTTCATTCATGGCCAGCCAGGTAAGGTCTGAGTGAACAATACATGCCTTCAAAAGCAAAGGTCAGGACACAAGCTGGGCAAGAAATCTTTAGCTTAGTTCATAACAATATGTGGAATAGATGAGACTGCACCTCCCTTTGTGGCAAAGCCACAAGAGGTGTTTGAGCACCCTTTAGTTTGCTGTCTGTGATTTCTCTGCTGCATGCTGTGGTCAAAGGCCTAGCAAAGCTGGGGCACAGGATGCTCCATCTTCTCTGGCACTGCCCTCATTCAGTACAGGGTGTTTGGGGCTGCACCTACTTGTTCCACCACACTAAATCACCGGGGAACATCTGTAGCAGAACATTTTCCTCCTCAAGTACTCTTCTCCCCTGTAGAAATAGGGCTTCTGGCAACAACCAATTCCTAATCCCATTAACTAGAATGTAGCTAATTTTAATCAGTAAAACTGTCCTAAATGTTTCTTATAAATAAGGAGTGGAGGGAGAAGAAAAAAATTGAGGTATGTTTCCGTAAAGCCACATCCCAAGTCCCTTCTTTGAGGCATGTTAAAATCCTACAGTCATATTTGATATCGCAGCCTCTAGCCAGACTGCTCTGCAGAGACCCATGCAAAGTGCAGCCGGGTGTGCTGTGCCAGTGTAGCCACTGGATCAGAAGGTGGGCGGGTAGTGGGATGGCATGGTACATTGCCAGCACTGGCATCCATGCTGTGGGGCACCTTGCTCAAGCCCAGGTAATTGCGTATTGCTACATAGAGCTTCCAGGTGACCTTCATCAGAAACGGTAGTTAATCAAGCAAAACCTATTTGCAATAGCCTAGTAGTTGAGCCATAATTAAACTTGCATCTCAGGGGGGAAGCACTTCCTTTTGGATAAACTAAACCAAATCTAAATGTGCTGGTCTGAGGCTCTGGAAACCCTGAAAGCAATAGCACCACAGTGACCTAAATTTCCCACAGGAAGAGTGGGGGAACACTGGAAGAGGCTGTCCAGGGAGGAGGTTGAGTCTCCATACTTCAGCTGGACAACAGCCTGAGCAGCCTGACCTTGCTTTGAGATTAGTTGTGCCATGAGCAAGGGTTGGACTAGATGGCCTCCAGAGGTCCTGTCTAACTTAAATTCTTCTGTTCTGTTCCAAGAAAGTTAAATTTCACCATAGTAAGGAGAGAAGCTTTGGGAATGTCAGTCAGCTCCTTGACAGTCCTCCTCAGACTGTAAGGAGAGCATTTCTATGCTTTTTCACAAAAGCCTTGAGGAAGAAGCAATTTTATAGTTTTACTCTTTCACTTCTCCTTTGTCCTCATCCTCAAAAGAGGCTTAGCTACAGAGCACCTGACTGTCAAGTGTTAGCAGGGCAGCATAGCTCATTGCATGACTAGACAAGCAATACTCCCTTCTGCAGGCAGGAAAGCACAGGACCTTGAGCTTGTGTTCAACCAAGTCTCCCAGAAGCTAAACCCTGTTCTTGCCACGAGTCAAGCCCTAGCAAGGGTAGGACATGCCATCTGTGTACATGCGCGCCGACATGTCTGTGGTGGGACAGGGACACACTCTAGTCAGGAGTCAGGTACTCCATCTGCCGAAAAGAGAATAGGACTTTAATAAAATCTTGCTGACTGCAATCCTATCTCCACCTCTTTCCCTGATGGATGAGCTACCTCAAGTTGCCAGTGCATTTTCTGTGAGATAAAACCATATGCAGAGCTACTGGATAACGAGTTAGCAAGCATGGTGGCTATCCTTGAGCCACTCGACCATGTTTATGCCCCAGCTGTACTCAGCAGGCAGTTTTCCTTTCCCTATCCACAGCAAGGGCTCTTTGCTGTTAGAGCTGAGTAGGCTTTCCTTTGAAATCGGGATAAGGGTATGCAGAGGAGATGATCTGTATGTTGAGAATCGCCAAGAAGCTTCAAACAGAGAAGCCACCAGTGTGCAGGACAGCTTAGATTTACTGCTCTTGACCCAGGGCTCTGGGCTGGATTTCCACATCTACTCTCCAGTGTTTTAAGCTCAGGGTCACTTGAGCATAACACACAAGATTTCTGGAGCACAGACAAACATCAGACTTCTTCCACAGAAAAATACGCTAACTTATGCTAAAGACTTCTCTTTCTTCTCTTTCTGGCCTCACAGATTTGGAATTTGTTTCTGTGCAGTGGCTTATACTCAGCAGGAAGGAAGGACGGACAGTGTCCTGAGCCAGCCCCAGCTCCAGAGATCAGGAGCATGGCTTTGAGTCGCCTCAGGCTCTGGAGAGCACCGAGCCTTGTCCTTCTACGCTGTGGGTAAATAGCCCACAGAACAGAGGCACTGTAGCCTCCAGTACAGGCCCAGAGGAAAGCAGCCATCATGTATTTCTGTAACCCAGTCCAGCCCCACTGAGGAGCACAAAGTGCAGCCCCAGCATCTGTGCTGGATACAGTACCAGTCACGTGCATTAGTCTGGGCTAGCATCTCCAAACGGGCCAAGGTGCCATCTGTGTGGATTAGTTTTATATGAACACCAGTTGGATTGTGGCACTATCAAAAATAAAGAACAAAACCACTTCTGCATCTTGTCCTTGGCTAATGGGGGCAGAACCCTGACACTTAAAGGACTTGCATTAGGAGCAGGTTTCATGACTTTTTTTTCTTACCCTAAGTCAAATACAGAATGAAGTAATTTCAAAGGGAGTGTGATAAGTAGATAACATCATTAAGGAAGAAGTAGGACCTGAAGTGTAAGCTTGAGGTTTGCTGACTTATCAAGTCTCTGGATGACTCCTTATCCCAGACCTGCATCACATACTTGCATCTCTAAAGCAAGCAGTACTCTGAAGTGCTAGGAAGTCTGGACTGCGCTGAGGTGCTTCCGAGCACCTTGATGTTAAAAACTTCTCAGGTCCAGAGTCTTACAACAGTGTAAACTATTCAGGGAAAGAAAAAAAAAATAAAACAACCCCACACTCAAAAAGCCCACCACACCCACACAACAGAACTACCCATACATAAACATGTAGTGTAAATACTATTAATATATCCTGGGAGACAAGTGAAAAGCTTTTTTCAAGAACAAATCCATAGAACTCACTGTCCATTTGCAGTGGAAATTTAGATACACAAGCCTTTGGTTCAATATAAAAGGAAATGGCTTTCTTTTACAAAAATGGCTGAATTTGCCCTGAGTAAAGAATACTCATGGAAAATACAAACCCCTCAAGAAGTGTTCCTTTAAGCTACAGAAGGACCAAAACTGTATGCATTTTATAGTAAAAACTACATAAAATCAAAACGAGGGGAAGCATTCTCTACAGTGCTTTGGTATATTTGAGGTTGTATTTCTCCAGCCCATTTTGAAAAACCTCTCCATCTTATAATTGTCAAATCTGAAGTCTTGCAATTCAGGAAATCTGCTGATTTTTCAAAGCTGTTGTATAGTTTTCAGTTCACAGGCAGCAGTTCTCCTTTAAGAGGAGCCTAAGACCACCCTTACCAAGGAAAGGAGAAGGAAGAGGAGCAGCTCCCTGCAGAGATAGAAGGGCTTTAAATAGGAAACTGCTCCATAGTTCAACTGCAATCTGCATCAAGGAGACAGGTATTTTGCTACTTATGTAGTTGTTTTTTCTTTTTTCCAGCTGATAGCATGTACGGACAAGATACCTTACAAGTCATAGTCTAGCTTCAACCTTTAGCTGCTTTTAAAGTACCTATTTTTACGAGGGTAGGAGCTACCGTCTTATTAAGTTGATTATTTTTAAGATTATTCAGTAACTTAGATGCCTGAGAGGCCCTTCTGCTTGTAGTTAACATGGAGCCATTATAACCTTCATTAAGGAGAGAGGAATGCAATACCTTGTTTTCCCCATAAGCAGGAACTACCTTTAGGATCCTCTTTTTGCTTTGGGAAACGTATACAGAGTTGCTTGTTGTGCTGGCAGGCAACTATCAAAAGCAGAATTTCAAGTTAACAAGCATCATATAGAGCAAGTTCTGCAAGGTTTCTCTGAAGCCAGTTGCTTAATTAACATTTTACTTGAGCTGCCTGAGAAGGCAAACTACCCATCTCACACTTTAAAAGGCACTAAACCAGAAAAATTTATTAAAGTAGTCTTTTGTAAGACTTCATATAACTATACTATTTGCAAGTAAGTTAAAAACCTTACCATTACCTCTCTTGTATAGGCAGAAAACTTCAGGCTGATAACTGTAGAACAATTCCTCCCTTCCTAAAAGTTCAAAGTAATTGCAAAACAAGCTTAAGTATTTTCCAGCCTTTTCCTAGACCTATCTGTGATAAGCCCTAATTATCACCCAGCTGAAGCAAGAGGGTCCCCAAATCACATTTCATTAGCAACTGAGTGAATTCAGCCTTGTAGACATTGCATTATGATGAAGTTATAAATCTTATTGCTCAATGAAATCCACCTACACCAGGCAAGGACTGAAAATGTAAGTGACTCTAATCTTTGATTAGTGTTTTCATTAGCATGACTTTAGAAGACTAAAAGTAACATAATAATTAACTCTTTTGTTGTTGTTGTAAACCAAATATTTAGTACAGGTAATTTACATAATTTTTAGAAGCTTTTGTAACCAAACCAACCTGGAAACTTGAATATCTTGTAAAGAAAAAAGCTGGAATTTATATGTTTGCTAGTTT